ATATGCGTGTGTGTGTACATATATGTGTATGTATGTGGGTGGGTGGGTGGGTTTGTTTGTTAGTGTATGTATGCATGTTGTATATACATATTTATAAATATATATGTGTGTATGTGTTTGTGTTTGTGTGTGTGTGTGTTTACGTATACATATTTACACGCATATACATATACCTTTATATATATATATAAGTAGGAATGTATATGTATATATTTATTTTTAAATACTTATATTTGTATATGTACTAAACCCTAAATCTTAAAACACAGTTGGTACAGTCTATTCCTTTCCAAGCCACGTTGCTATCTTCATATTGGTTTTCTAGTGGTAGTCGGGTCATATGTATCCATGTGCGTGCCTCGCAAATAACATTTGTGTATTCCACGTTATAATTACCTGCCTATTCCAGTATTCAATGTGTTTTTCCTAATTCAAAATGTTTTACTCACACTTTTGGTCTGTCCCATCTACAACTGGCTTAAACGCTTACACGAACTATTCGACCGCTTTCTTTATACTTGTGTGCTGTTCAGATAAATTCCTAGGGGATTAAGGTATACGTTTACATGGTTGATAGGCATGTAATAGTTTTAGAGTTTAGGGTTTTTACCCGTAGAAAAATCCTGAGTGTTAAGTATGCATTGGCATACTGAGACTCAACAGTGTGCGGCTTATTCTTCTCAATTCAAGTTCAATTTCGTTCCTCAATCAGCCCACATTTATGTTGAGGAGTCCGACAGCTCCTCAACAATGCGCCTAAACTTCTGTCTATCAAAAAAGTTCTTCTTCTCAATTACCTAAACTCCTATAAATCAAAAAGGTTCTTCATCTCATTTACCTAAACTCCTATAAATCAAAAAGGTTCTTCATCTCAATTACCTAAACTCCTATACATCAAAAAGGTTCTTCATCTCGATTACCAGCTATTTGCTGGGAAACTTTCAATTTGACCATCCAATGGAATCCCAACATCGTGACTTCAACTTGACCACTCCTCCTACAACAGAAATATGCTCTTCAGCAGCACGTCTGGGCGCGCAGGGAAGCCACGGATCGCCTGTGCCTGACCTGGCTGCAGTGTAACGTGGACAAATCCCTCTGACATGGCGAGACACATACGCACCCACATAGGGGAACGTCCCTACGCCTGTACGTACTCTGGTTGTGGCAGTGCTTTTGCACGCTCTTTCGATCTCAAAATTCATGTGCGCACTCAGACCGGAGAACGACCCTACGCCTGTACGTACCCTGGTTGTAGCAGTGCTTTTGCACGCCCTTTCGATCTCAAAACTCATGTGCGCACTCACACCGGCGAACGCCTAAAACCCCTAAAACCCTAAAACCTTCTCTCATCGCAGCTCGCTTACTTCTCACATGCGCACTCACCCAGTTGGACGTAAATTTCGTGAATGTGACACCGCCGAGACAGATTTGTCTAATTACAACACAGATTTGCACACACGAACAGGGACCGTGTGTCTAGTGGTACGTTCATGAAGTGAGATTACACTTCAACGACCATTACCCATATAAAAGGAGCAGTATACTCGCTTTAAGGGACATTTTGGAGCAAAAAGTGATTTACTACTAAAATCTATGCGACACAGCTGGACTCATAGAGGCAAGTTGCTAGAATAATGACATGCCGACTGCGTTCAACATGTTGAATAGGGCATATGCAGCTCAGGATATGACTCATGCGGTGTCAGAGAAGTCTTGGAGGCACCAGGTCACTACTGCGTTCAACATGTTGAATAGGGCATATGCAGCTCAGGATATGACTCATGCGGTGTCCGAGAAGTCTTGGAGGCACCAGGTCACTACTGCGTTCAACATGTTGAATAGGGCATATGCAGCTCAGGATATGACTCATGAGGTGTCAGAGAAATCTTGGAGGCACCAGGTCATTACTGCGTTCAACATGTTGAATAGGGCATATGCAGCTCAGGACAGCGATGTACTGTATGAGCTGACGACGGAGATCAAGCACCGTGCACATGCAGCCTGGGACGGTGTGTCCCAGATCACTCATTGTGATGTGTCTAGAGAAGCTCTGGGAAATTCAGGGCAGAAATTATCCAAAAGTGGTTGTCCACACATTGTGTAGAATACCTGGAGTGGTGAGTCACCCGGTCTGGCGGCAGGTAGTGCGGCACGTCCGCCTGCACAGATGTTGAAACGGGTGCACATGCACGAGTGGCATGTCCCCGGCTGAAAAATTGGTGCAGTGTTGGTGTGGAGCGCATGGTGTTGGCGTGCTGGCGGTGTGTGAGGCGGCCGTTCGACAGCCTGACTGTTTCGCGGGTGCAACGGGCAAAAGAGAGTGTGATGTGGTCAGAGCCTGTACCGAGCTGAGTTATAGGGTCTAATCTTAGGGATCCTGGTCACTTGATTAAGGATAACGAACACAGAACTGTCGGACCCTGTGGCACGTATATAGTTAAAATGCCAGCGCCATTAGACCTTCTGTTTTATTGATCGCCGATGGAATAAAAATGTTTCAGCTAGCGGGACCTCTGGTTGTTGTAACAATATATTTGTAT